GTATTTCTCTAAGCTCTGTCCCCAACTCCTCCCCTTTTCTTTCTCTCAAGGCAATCACAAATGGCTAGACAGAAGACCCCCTAGTCTGTCAGCTCTAACTTTGCTCTCTGGAGTTCTGCATTTCCTACAGCTTCCGCTAAACAGCTCTATCCAAGTATTTTACTGGCTCCTCAAACTTGCCACCGCCCCAAAATGAAGTCCTGTGCCAAAGATACATTCAAGTAGCTTTCATACATACAAGATGGCTAGGGGCATTTAATCCTGGCTCTAACTACCTGGGTGACCTTGGGATGCTGAGAGGTAGAACTCAGATACAGTCTGGGAAGCACTTTTCTTAGTGCTCAGCTAAGTACCAAACTCAATTTATTATTTTTATTTTTATATAAATTTTGAGAGAGAGAGCATGTGAGCGGTGGGGGGAAGGGTGCAGAGGGAGAGGGAGAGAATCTTAAGCAGATCTGAGTGTAGATCTCACGACCCTGAGATCCTGACCTGAGCCGAAATCAAGAGTTGGACACTTAACCAACTAAGCCACCCAGGCGTGCCCCCCAAAATCAATTTATTAACTAGCATTATTACTAAAACCACATAGAACCCAAACTTGAAAACCCAAACTATCTTTGATTCACTCCATTCTCTTACCAACCAAAAGCTTATGCTGTTTGTTTAACTGCTAGAAAGAACTTTATGAAACCCAAATTAGATCGTATTAGTTAAAAACCCATCAAAAGCTCTCTAAAAGAATACACTTATGTTTGGCACACAATGCATACCCCTCTGCCACTAAGAACTTTTACAACTGTATCTTATTCTACTACTCATCATACACACTGTCCTCAAGCTAGAATGCACCACCGCATACAGAGCAGAGTTGTATCATATATGCGTTTAAGATCATGCAAATACCCAGGAGGGAGGAGCAAAACAGGTAGGTGCTGGGGACAGATGGAGAGCCGGGGGAAGAAAAGATGACCTGGAGTGAGTATGCACCTGCTGGTCCTCTAGGCAGCAGGAGTTCCTCTGAGCCTCTTACTGAGTCAGCAGCCTTACCATGCTGAGTATGATTGTAGTAGTACAAGAGGGCCTCTCCACAGAAGCCCAATGACTTCACCTAGTGCTCAAGTGAAGAAAAGGGATTTATTCCCTCGCTGGAGGCAAATGTGACTGTGCTGGACTGAAGGAGACATGGTATGCATTACTTTGTAGATGAATTGAAGCGTCTTCCTGGTGGCACAAGAGTTTGGTCTTAAACTGGCTTTAGGTGTTATTCCTCTGTCCTCTCCCCTCTCCCTGCCTCCACATCTTTACCCTTCACACAAATTACTTGCTTCCCAGAACACACAGACTTTTCTGATTCCATGGAGCTGGAAAGAATCCAGTGGGGATCTGTTGTATTTCTTTCAATCTATCCATTTATATGCACTTTTACTTCAAGATAAGACCTATACCAGATACATATAGATGACAGACATATATACCCTCTCAGTGCCTAGCCTAGAGCCTTGTATACAGTCAGCAAACATTCATTAAATTATAGAAAGTACAAATGGAAGAAAAGGAACAATGTTGGCTGGTGAAAAGTACATTTTTAGTAATAGCTGAATGACTATGCTTTAAGAGGTAAGTTTATAAAGCAAGGCTTAGAGGTCTGAATTTATAGTGAACACTTTCAATCAGTGTGATGACAAAAGAAGCTTGCTAATCACATCTCATGACAACTCAAGCTGGGAGCAGAATTCTTAATATAATGAGGAACACAATAAATAAAGATTTAAATGACTGAATATTTTGTAGCACAGAGTAAAAATGGGAGTAAAATGAGTATGTAAGTGCATTTAGGTTAAAAAAATAAGGTAGGGATGAGGAACAACAGTACCACAGGTAATTTGAAGTTGAAAAACATCCAAATGGTTTGTATCCAATTTCAACACAACACAACTTTATAACAAAGATGAATACGAAGGTCAATGCTCAACATTTCAAATGTTAAGAGGGATGACGATAAACTGGAAGGAGTCTAGAAGGATGACAAGGATGATGGCGACGGAGGGATGGAAAAGATGACAGAGGTGAGAGATGTTTAAATTAATGAAGACCAGGTAGGAAGAAGAACAGAATAGGACAATGATCTTCCCTTGATTCCTTTTTCCTTCTTGCCACTTCCTCCCCCCACTCTGCAACACATGTGCAAATTCTGTGAGCTTTAGCTCCACCACAGACCCGAGTTTGATCCCTCTCTCTACCCCCATGGGTAAATGTCTGTCTAGGATGGTCTGTCCTGTTGCAATTGACTTCTAACTGTCCACCCCCTCCCCCTTTCCAACACTGCCTCTTGGAATCCATTCTCTACAAAGCAACCAGATTCATTTTCTTAAAAGTTTAAATCAGAACCCATCGATCTCCTGCTTATACTCCTCTAATGCTAACCTATAACACCCAGAACAAACATATAAACTGCTTACCATGTCCTAAAAGTCCATGTCCAATCTGGTTCCTGCTCAATTCATTGAGCTTACTGCAATCCCCCTTTCTCTCATTCTGCTATATACTGGCCTTTCTGTTCTACAAACATGCCAAAGCTGTTCCCGATTCAGCCATTCAGGCCTGAAATGTTCTACCCCTAGGTCTTTGGTTGACTCCATCTCAGTATTTGGGTCTAAGCACAAAACTCAACTTCTCAGACACCTTCCTCGACTGCTGTAGAAAAAAGCAGCACTCCCACCCCCCCCCCCCAAACATTACACATTTCGTCTTATTCATACTACTTGTTAGTAATCTATTCATCTGTCTGGTGGTCTGCCTTGCTCCACTAGAATTTAAGTCCCCTGAGGGGAGGGGTTTTAATTTAAACACTGCACAGAGTTGGTTCTTAAACACTTGTTGAATGGGATACATTCTACATAAATCCGAAACATATTTAGGGATTTAGGACCAAATGACAGGTAGATTTTAGGCCAATTTGTAAAGAACTTTCAAGAATTATAGTGAGGTAATGAGAATTATAGTGAGGTAACGTTCTCATCTACCTCAATAGATGACCACAAATTATGGAGGCTACAGAATGGATTACTGCACTTAGTAGTAGTTTTGACTAAATGACCTTAAAAATCCTTCCCAATTATAAAATTCTAATCTATCTAAAATGTAATGAGTCACTTTCAATCTATATAGCTATTAGAGAAATGGTTTCTTTTTTTTTTAAGTATTGACAATTTAATGCTGTCCTATTGATTTTTATTTATTTATTTATTAAAGATTTTATTTATTTATTTGACAGAGAGAGACACAGCAAGAGAGGGAACACAAGCAGGGGGAATGGGAGAGGGAGAAGCAGGCTTCCCGCCGAGCAGGGAGCCCGATGCGGGGCTCGATCCCAGGACCCTGGGATCATGACCTGAGCTGAAGGCAGACGCTTAATGCCCGAGCCACCCAGGCGCCCCTTAGAGAAATGGTTTCTATGCTGTACCATCCCTCTACCTTCTTTTGGAGATCTGAATTAGCCTCTAGTTTATGCATATCTCAAACTGACTAAACATCTTCAGTAACTTTAAATCATTTTTCGCCCCAAAAGTAACCCTGACCTTGCCCTTCAGAGCAAGGTACCACCGTCAGATATAATAAGATAAATGGACAGATAACCCCACACAACCCACTACCAATTACATTTATAGAATACAGTACCCAAGAGCCAACTTTTTTAAAGGATTTGTATATCACGTGATGTAATGAGCACTGGGTATTATATAAGACTGAGGAATCACTGAACTCTACCTCTGAACCTAATAATACGTTACATGTTAATTAACGGAATTTAAAAAAAAAGGATTTGTACATTATTTGCTATGATTTGGGTTTTGTTACCTCTTGTCTCCCCTACTATTTCTGCCCAAGACTAGCTAAAAACTGCAACTGATAAAAGGACTATATCATAAGATAATCCAGAGGTGTGTTACCTTGACCACTATAATTTGTTTGAATGAAATTTTGGACTTAGGTTTGAAATCATTTTATTAAGACAGGATTATTTTCAAAAGACAGTATTTTGAAAATGACATATACTGACCAAATTAATATAGCTGCAGGAGAAATACTTAATATAAGCACTACTTTAACAAATATGAAAACTATAAATATTTTATCAGAGAGTATAAAGCAGTGTATTCCAAAATGAGTTTTTGAGGAGATCAATTCTTTAAGAGATACTGGTCAAACAAATACGTTTGGGAAATACATTATATAACCCTCCTCCTTCCCCATTCACAAAACACACCAACACTCATAGTCTATACAACATTTTACAAAAACTATTAAAAGAATAAAGGACTTGTAAAACTTTAATCCATCATTTTCCATATTTCTTTGACCAGAATCACCCACCTTTTCAGGGTAGGGGCAGCAGTGGCAGAAAATACAGTTTAGGGAAAGCACTGTTTGAAAATATTACTTCTAAATATATTTACAAAATAGCTAAGACAGAAACTGACAATAAATGAGAAGCTTAGTAGGATATATATATATTCAAATAACTTGTATTTGGTGTATAAAGCAGCTAAGAAAAGGGACAATTATAAGATGGATGATTTCATTAAAACAATTAAAAAATTGCCATTTTAGTTAAGTCCCTGTATTAAATGCTAATTTATCTGTACCAGCAATTATTTTGTGATGCCATTCTCTCCCCCTGATACCAAGGGCAGTCTTTCAATATTAAAACTCAAGTTCTCCTAGGAATCAGGTGGCTCAGAGGGTAGTGGGAAGCACAGGCCTGTGAATCTACTGGTTTAGAATCATTTGTGTGCCTTCATTCCTTTTTGTACCATAGTGTACTGACTATCTGGAAGGGAAAAATACTTTTAATGTGTGGATTCCCGTATTATATTTTACTAGACTTCTGGACCATTTTGTTGTGATGTCAACATAATTCTATGGGGGGGGGAAGTACTGAATAGTTAACACTCCCCAAAAAGAGAGGGACTACAGCAGTTTTAGAAAGCACTTACTTAATCATTTCAAAAAGCTTTGGATCTGAGACCTTGATATTTCGTGCCATATTCCAGGAAAGATGAACCATGGGTACTATTGACTTCACACTTTGCAATTTGTTCCATTCGTACCGTTCCACTGCCAACTTATACTGGCAGGCTAGGAAAAAAAAAACAGTTATAAAATAGCAACCCAAAGTACCAAAAGATATGAAGTTACCATTATCACCTTCTCAGATGTTATCAATACCAATTCTGAGAATCTCAAACATTACAAAAATAATTATGTTTCTTTGATAATTATGGCAATAATAATAGTAGTGAACACATAAAGAGTGCTTACTGTAACTATGTGCCAGGCATTGTGCTGAGCTATTTTTATACATTATCTCATTTCATCTTTATCATTACCTTATTAATTTTATTATTCCCATTATACAGATGAAGAAATTGAGGCCCAGAGAGGTTATATAACTTGCCCAAAGTTGCAAGAGCCAGGTCCTGGTCCTAATCCAGGTCTTTCTGGCTCCAAAGGCCATATTCTTAATCTGAATTATCTACTGCTTGAAGGCAGGCATAATTCAAACAGATTTTGACATATTAGGGCTATTCATACAACATTACCAGATAAAAGAAAAATCTCAAAGAATGAACAACCACTCTATTTTGCCTTCTCCCATAAAGGGTTTGCTTTATAAAACAAAACCAAGCACTCTAAAAATTATTAAAAGTGTTTCTTCCTTGTATATAAAGACATTAATTTGTTATTTGGTGAGATCTATGGTCTTGGGATTTCTACCTGTTAACTTGAATTTAATTTCTTGTACTACAAATTAAAATTTTATTCAAGGAGATACAACTCTTCTTCCAATTTCTACTGAGTTATATTCTAAGAAAAAAAAATAAACCTATCAGATACAATCTTTTATAAATTAAACTTTTTTTTTAGCATATTCTTTAAAATACCTGTAAGTGGACCAACATTCCAAGCAATGTTGTTGCACCAGCCAATAGCCTGAACCCAGTGAACAGTGCCTGCATTTATCCAGACCAAATCTCCAGGTCGCTGAATAAACCTATACACTGGAACATTTGCTTCATAAAGATCTTCAAGGTTGGGCCACCAAGAACCCATAAGGAAATTCAAATTATTTCTGAAATAAGAAAAAATAATGCAGATGGATCAAATACTTTAATAAAGCTCCTTAATAAGACTGGAAAACAAGGTCAAAACTTCTTAAAACATGCTCATTCACACTGCATTGAAACTTAACTGTCTGTGCAATAAGAACTACCATATGTAATGGGAGTAAAATTAATTACAGTTAAGTATTGGATAACTTATCCAAAGATCAGTACTACTACCTTCAACTGATTTTTCAAAGATCCAAATGAAATACAAAGCTCCTTTTAAGTAACACTTATACATTAACTTAATTTCATTTCACTAAAGGCTATTTGACTGAACCCTTCTTCATGGAGTACCAAGAAATCTCTAAAAGGTAAATGGAAGGTGGAATTGACATCAAGTCACTTAAGTCCATAAACAGGAATGCTATGGCAAATATAATGAAGTATTTAGGAACCTTGATTTCTGAGGCAAAGTGGAAAAAAGAATGGTCTCTACTGCTGTTTTGAATTCTAAGAGGAAAAGGAGACAGGATGTCAGTCTCTAGAGTTTTGATACTAGTTAAAACTATGCAGCTGAAAACAACTTCATAAAAAACGAATAGTCACACACATGCACAAATAACCATCATCACCGCCGCCGCCACCACCAATGTACTTTGGAAACAGTCTATGGATCTTAGTAAGCTTTTACTTTAAAATCTGGTTTCTTGAGCCCCTCGGTGGCTCAGTCGTTAAGCCTTCAGCTCAGATCATGATCCCAGGGTCCTGGGATCGAGCCCCGCTTGGGCTCCCTGCTCCGCGGGAAACCTGCTTCTCCCTCTCCCACTCCCCCTGCTTGTGTTCCCTCTCTCACTATGTCTCTCTCTGTCAAATAAATAAATAAAATCTTAAAAAAATAAAAAATAAAAAAAATAAATCTGGCTTCTTCTTTTTCTACTTCATCATGATATAAAAGGAAGTATTTTTAAAACTGCATAGCAACTTTTCCTACAAGAGAAGTTTATAAAATTCAATAAGCTACATTTTGGGGAAGGAGAAACTTGCAGAATGGAAGTGTTCCTTTCCTTATTATCTAAGAAGTAGTCTTTACTTCTGTCCTGTGCCAAAGGATACAATAAAGTGTACCTTGAAATTATTCTCGTTGGTTTAAATTTAACTTATTTGCTTAGATCAAGGGCTGGCAAACTATGGCCCATGAGCCAAATCCAGCTCACCTATTTTTGTAAATAGAACTTTTATTAGACCATGGCCATGCCCATTCATTTACATATTATTATACAGGATTGCTTATGTACCACAGTGACACAGCTGTGACAGAGACCATATGACCTGCAAAGCCTAAAATATTTATTATCTGGCCCTTTATGGAAAAAATCTCACCAACAGCTGATTTAGATGGAATCTTTGCCTTATTTTTTTTCCTTAAAAAAAATGCAAGGCTGCTCTTCAAAGTCTAGAAGACTGCCAATGGTAGCCTAACTGCAGGGGGCTATGGATGGGCTTTACTGTCTGTAATAAGGCTCAGTAGATACAGTCCAGAAAAACCTGCCTATGAAGCAAAATATGGTTACAAACACAAATTCTATCCCTACGTCACCCATGTGTTGCCATCATAACATTGGAGGAACCTTTCTATCCAAAAGCAAGCAAGCAATCAAGTAAGCAAGACCACCAAATAATCAACAACTAAGTTAAAAAAAAAAAATTAAAGTTACCCCAAAAAAGCAAGCATCCTTTTTATCATATATTCAAGTGAATGGTTATTTCAAGACAGATACTGTTTAGTCATAACAAAAACTACAGACATGGTCAGTATCAGTCAGTATCAAAAGCAACAATCCTTATGTGAAACAGAATTACACTGAAATGCTGGGGTAGCAAATGCTATTTCTGCAGCTTAAATTTACCTAACCTTTCATACTTTTGATATTTTTATTATCCCCAAGTTCACGCTTTTTAGACATCACCTGCCTCTTCTAATTATCTTTGTTCCCAGATTACCACCCCATTAGGTAGGAAAGAAAAACTAAATCCTGAAGAGAGCCAATCTCTACTCAGAAATAATGAACAAGGATTAGTGTACTGTGTTGTAAAAATATACTACTATCTCAAAGTTTAAGAAATACAAATCTTGGGCACCTGGGTGGCTCAGTTGGTTAAGCAACTGCCTTTGGCTCGGGTCATGATCCCGGAGTCCCAGGATCGAGTCCCACATAGGTTCCCTGCTCAGCAGGGAGTCTGCTTCTCCCTCTGACCCTCCCCCTCTCATGCTCTCAAATAAATAAATAAAATCAAATGAAAAGAAGGAAAGAAAGAAAGAAAGATAGATCTTTCTGTAGAACAATGGAGATTTCCTACATGACACTGCTCTTTCTCTGCTACCACCGGACCACTGGTCCATAAAAGCAAGCACAGATTAAAGTAGATCAGGTTATTTCATTAGGGCATTTGAAACTTTAAAATTTCACATCTTTGGCTTTCTTATATGAAAGGAAATCTGTGTGTTAAACAGTAAAAACAATGAAAGGTAATTATCTTTTGCTTGTATATAAGGAAATTTTGGATTAGTGTGGGGGTTTTTTTGTAACTGTATTTACACTTGTTACTAAACCAAGAAAGATGTTTACAGCAAAGATCCTGTAACCCACGATAAAAAAATTCTTAGTATGTGGAGTATTTGTATAATTAGTTTTCAGAGTCTCTCATAATGTAAATATTTCTGGTGGTTCCCCCTTTACTTCCTTGGGGTGGGGAGAATAACACCATATATATGTATAATTTATGTTTTTATCCGTAATAATTTTCCAATGTTATTACTAAAGGAAAATATCAAGGCTTACATAATGGAGTTTCCATTTAGACAAATAAGTTTAAACCAATGAAAATAATTCTGAGGTACTCTAACACAAGATAAAGAAATAAAGGAAGGCTATTTCTAGGACCTTAAGGAAAGGAATACTTCTACCAGGTGAGTTCCTTCAAATAGAGAAAATAAAATCTGAAGCAGTTGATTAAATTTTGTAAAATTATTTTATAGGAATAGTTGCCAGTGTAGTTTTAAAAAGGATTTATATCATGGTGATATGACAAAGAGCAATATGCTCAAACTTGAGTTATTAACAACCTATGAAAGGGCTCTATTATAGAATTCCTTCCACTTCTAAAACCATTCATAGTAAAATAATTTTTCTTGGAATATAGATCTCCCACATGAACAAGTATTTATGTATCAATTGTTCAATTAACCTAATAAACAACTCAATCCTCCTATCTTCCAAATTCAAGGCTGTTACTGCCGCATCTTTCTTAAAGTATTCTCAGTAATGCAAAGGAAGAGACTTGGAATCAAATCAATTTAAATGAATTTTTTGCTGAATGGTAAGTGAAAACTGGTTACATACATTGGGATATCCAGGTTAGTAAGTTGTCCTTTACAATTACTGTTTTTGAATAATTACGTTTAAAGAAAATTTAGTTTGGAAACCTACTTTTCACAGAAGTCATTCAGAACACCCCAATAACCTTCAGGGACAACAAACCATTCACAGTCACCTGGACCAATATTTATGTTAACTGAACAGAAGTTGTTATTTTCTTGATGACCTGAAATGAGAAAAGAAAAACAGTAATCAGCATACTATAAATTCTATAGCAAAATGTGCCTTTAGAAATAAGACCTCGGAAATGTTCAACATAGAATGTTCTGGTGGTATTCAGCTCTTTGTCATTATTTCTGTGTCTAGTTTTAGAGCAGAGTTTGGTCAGCTCCTAACTTATTCAGTAAGACCTTCTGCAGAGGTAGTCTAAATCAAGACTAAAAGCTTAGGTTCTACAGCCAGGCTCCTAAGCTTATGTGAACCTGGGCACATTGCTAAGCCTTTCTGACTCCATTTCCTTATATAGAAGATTAGATAATAACAATTCCAATAAATCACTGGGTTGTTTTGAGGGATCAATGAAATAATGACTGCTCTGAACAGTGCCAAATATATGGTAAGTAATAAGTATTAGCTATTATTGATATCATTACCACTTCTTTGTGAACTAATCACCATTTCTCACAAGTAGTATTAGGACATCAATAAAGAGACAAGAAACCTGGTTTTCAAATGTAGCTGTGGGAGTATTGTCAACAAAAGTGATGGAGCAGGGAACTCTGGAGAACTCTTCAGAAACACTAAAAAAAGAAAAAATCTAGTAAAAACTGACAGAAGGAACCTTACCAGAACTCTGGGCAATAGTCAAAGGTTTACAGCGACCAAGTGAATGCCTGACCAGAAAGAACTCACAACACAGTAGGAGACTTTTACGTCACTTTAACTTACCTTATCCCCACCCACATCACTAGTGTGGCAGTGGACTTAAAAATGGTAGTCTTGTATTCTAGCGTGAGTGTCCCTGGTTCTGGAGGGAGCAGAGTGGATCTTGTTCCCAAGGAATTATGTTTTTCTGTTTCGACTTGACTGGAGTTTCCCCCAAAGGACTAACATAAGGAGCTTCACTCTATCAGGGCAAGTGGTTCAGTGGAGAAGGTTTCCCCCAAAACATTGAAAGGTCAATGAACAAAGGCAAAAACAAAGAGTTGGGGCAAGCAACAGACACACCAAAGGCCTGGAAAGAAAAGCTGGGGACTGAGATTTGGGGGGAATAAAGGCTTTGAAAAGTTCCCATGAATACTAGAGAATTTAGAAAGCCACATGCATACCCAGAGCAGGGCGCATGCTCAGAAAAATACCTAAGACCATAAATTTTAACTTCTTGCTAATCTTTAGGCGCAGTGCAAGCAAGGAGGGCTCAAAGGCTGAGCCTTTGAGCTCAAAGTACAGGCTCAAAGTACAACTGTAAGCAGCATGGATAAGTGTATAAGGAGTGACTCAACACAGAGGCAATCTGCAAAGACCTGGAGAATTATTTTTTCTTTTCTTTCTTTTCATTTTTCCATTCTTCTTTTTTTGGCACAAAGCACTGAAGGAAATCTCTGTCAGGTCACTGGCTAACTGCTGAGATAATGGAAAAGAAACTTCAGCACTCACACATGCCAAGGAATACAGTCTTTGTGAAAATACTGTGGAAAAGTCACTAAACAGACAAATGTAGCCCACAATAAGGAAGAACAAACCATGGAGAGGGAGAATCTGCTTTCTGTAATTGCCACATGATAACATTCAAAATGTCAAAATATTAGCACAGTACTATGCTTAGGGAACAGAGACCTCAGGGACTACATCTGACCGAGAATACAATCTGTTTTGGTTTTTTTTTTAATTCTCAGAGTCTGTTTCCACAAAAAATTATGAGGCTTGCAAATAAACAAAAATGTATGACCCAGTCACAGGAGAAAACAAAAACAAAAACAAAAACTATTCCTGAAAAAGAACAGATATTGGACTTCATAGCCAAACACTTTAAATCAACTGTCTTAAGTATACTTCAAAGAGCTAAAATAAACCATAAACAAGAACCACAGGAAATAAGGAGAATGAGGTCTCAAAAGAGATTATTAATAAAGAGACAGAAATTATCATAAATAAAATTCTGAAGCTGAAAAGTATAACTGAAATTAAAAATTCACTAGTAGGTTTCAAACAGCAGATGTGAGCAGGTTAAAGCAAGAATCCACAAACTTGTAGATAGGTCAAATGAAACTAATCATTTTGGGAAGAAAGAAAATAGAACGAAGAAAAATTAACAGAGCCTATGGGACCATCAAATACACTAACCTATGCATTGTGGGAGTCCCAGAACAGGAGAAAGGACAATAGGAATATATGAAGAAGTGATGGTCCAAAACTTCCCAAATTTGACAGAATACATGCATCTATACATCAAAGAAGCTAAAGAAACTCCAAAGTAGGAAAAACTCAAAGAGAGCCACACCAAGACACCTTAGAGTCAAACTAAAAACCCAAAGAGAATTTTGAAAGCAGGGGGGAAAAAAGTGATTTGTCACATACAAGGGATTATCAGTAAGATTAATAGCTGATTTCAGATCAGAAACCACAGAGGCCAGAAAGCAACAGGATAACACATTTAAACTCTGAAAGAAAGAAAAAAAAAGTAACCAAGAATTCCATATCTGGCAAAACCATTCTTCAAAAATAAAGCAGAAACTAAGACATTCTCAGATAAATAAAAGCTGAAAGAGTTTGTCACTAGCCAATCTGCCATGTAAGAAAATACTAGAGGCTGAATTTTGGGGCTGAAATGAAACAGACAGTAATTCACAGCCCTGTGACAAAGAGATAAAGTACTACAGTAAAGGTAACTACCTAAGTTGGAAGATTCATACTTTCCAATTCTGAAACTTACCTCAAAGGTACAGCAGTCAAACCAGTGTGGTACTGGCATAACAATAGAGATATAAATCAAGGAAAGAGCATCAAGATTTCAGAAATAAATCCATACATCTGTGGCTGATTTTCAACAAGGGTGCTAAGACCCTTCTATAGAGAAAAGAATAGTCTTTCCAACAAATAGTGCTGGGACAACTGGATATGTAAAAGCATGAATTTGGACCCTTAGCTCATATAAAACCACATATAAAAATTAACTTAATATGGATCAAATATCTAAATATAAGAGCTGGAACTATAAAAATCTAAGAAGAAAAACGGGTAAAACTTGATAACCCTGGATTCAGCAGTGGTTTCTTACATATGATACCAAAAGCACAAGCAACAAAACAAAAAATGGATAAACTGAACTTCATCAAAATTAAAAACTTTTGTGTATCAAAGAACATTATCGGGCGCCTGGGTGGCTCAGTTGGTTAAGCCACTGCCTTCGGCTCAGGTCATGATCCTGGAGTCCCGGGATCGAGTCCCGCATCGGGCTCCCTGCTCGGCAGGGAGTCTGCTTTTCCCTCTGACCCTCTCCCCTCTCATGTGCTCTCTCTCTCTCTCTCATTCTTTCTCTCAAATAAATAAATAAAATCTTTAAAAAAAAAAAAAAGAACATTATCAAGAGAATGAAATAACTTAAAGGATAGGAGGAAATATCTACAAATCATATATTAGATAACGGGTTAATATGCAAAATATAAGCTCCTACTACTCAACAACAAAAGGACAAACAACTGAATTAAAAAATGGGAAAAGGACCTGAACGGACATTTTTTCAAAGTGGATAATATACATGGCCAGCAAGCACATGAAAATCAAAACCACAAAGAAAAACCACTTCACATCCACTGGGTTGGCCATAATAAGAAAAAATGGAAAATAATCAGTGTTGGTGAGGATGTGGGAACTCTCATATATTGCTGGCATGAATGTAAAATGGTGCAGCTACTGTAGAAAGCAGTTTGGCAGTTCCTCAGAAAGTTAAACATAGAATCACCATATGAACCATCAATTCAAATCCTAGGTATATAACCAAAACAACTGGAAAAAGGGATTCAGACAGATACTTGCACATGAATGTTCACAGAAACACTATTCACAACAGCTAAAAAGTGGAATCAACCCAAATGTCCACCAACTGATGAACGGATAAACAAAATGTCCTATATCCACACAATGGAATATTTGGCCATAAAAAGGACTGAACCATTAATACGATGCAGGTAACCAAAAAACATGCTAACTGAAAGAAGCCAGACACAAAAGGGAACATATTATATGATTCCATTTATATGAAACATCCAGAACAGGTAATTCTATAGAACCAGAAAGTAGACTACTGGTTGCCAGGGGCAGAAGGAAGTGGGGAATGGGGAGTTAATGTTTAATGGGTATGAGGTTTCCTTTTGGACAGATGAAAATCTCTTGGAACTACACAGAAGTGATGGCTACACAGCACAGTGAATATACACTGAAATGCAACTGAACTGCATACTTTAAAAGAATTAGTTTTACTGTGTGATTTTTACCTCAATAGAGAAAAATGTTGCTGCTCTCACCATACCGTGTCTTTTACACATAATAGTATGATGTGAATATGGTACTTCTTAAAAATTTTTTGTTATGTTAATCACGATACATTATATCATTATAGTTTTTGATGTAGTGTTCCACGATTCATTGTTTGTATATAACACCCAGTGCTCCACGCAGAACGTGCCCTCTTTAATACCCATCACCAGGCTAACCCATCCTCCCACCCCCCTCCCATCTAGAACCCTGTTTGTTTTTCAGAGTCCATAGTCTCTCATGGTTCATCTCCCCCTCTGATTCCCCCCCTTCATTCTTCCCCTCCTGCTTTTTTTTTTTTAACATATATTGTATTATTTGTTTCAGAGGTTCAGATCTGTGATTCAACAGTCTTACACACTTCACAGTGCTCACCATAGCACATACCCTCACCAATGTCTATCACCCAGCCACCCCATCCCTCCCACCTCCCCCACCACTCCAACAACCCTCAGTTTCTTTCCTGAGATTAAGAATTCCTCCTATCAGTGAGGTAATATGATACATGTCTTTCTCTGACTGACTTATTTCACTCAGCATAACACCCTTCAGTTCCATCCACGTCGTTGCTAATGGCAAGATCTCATTCCTTTTGATGGCTGCATAATATTCCATTGTATATATATACCACATCTTCTTTATCCATTCATCTGTCGATGGACATCTTGCCTCTTTCCACAGTTTGGCTATTGTGGACATTGCTGCTATAAACATCGGGGTGGATGTACCCCTTTGGATCCCTACATTTTTATCTTTGGGGTAAATACCCAGTAGTGCAATTGCTGGATCATAGGGTAGCTCCATTTTCAACTTTTTGAGGAACCTCCATACTGTTTTCCAGAGTGGCTGCACCAGCTTGCATTCCCACCAACAGTGTAGAAGGGTTCCCCCTTTCTCTGCATCCCTGCCAACATCTGTCGTTTCCTGACTTGTTAATTTTAGCCATTCTGACTGGTGTGAGGTGATATCTCATTGAGGTTTTGATTTGGATTTCCCTGATGCCGAGCGATGTTACGCACTTTTTCATGTGTCTGTTGGCCATTTGGATGTCTTCTTTGGAAAAATGTCTGTTCATGTCGTCTGCCCATTTCTTGATTGGATCATTTGTTCTTTGGGTGTTGAGTTTAGTAAGTTCTTTATAGTAATGGACCCTCAACTCTATGGTCAACTAATCTTTGACAAAGCAGGAAAGAATGTCCAATG